AGACAAAATAATATTAAGAAGTAGAATTAAGATGTTAATTAAGTTGTTAATTAAGTTATCAGAAAGAAGAAAACCCCTCCGTAGTATTTTGCCCTTGAGCCTGATTGGCGATCAGGAAGGGCTTTGATATGTTGATTGTGCTACCCCCAATGCTGGGGATTTTGAGAGAGACTAGGGAGAAACCAAGACAGCAAGTGAGTGGGAGTATGGAGAGATGGGAGAGATGAGCGATGAGCGGGAGAGACAGGAGGAGATGGGAATGAGGGGCAGCGTGAGACTAGAATGGGGAGCTTAGAGAGACTGGAACAGGCGAGTGGGGAGAATGAAATAAATGGCAACTGGTCATCAACCAGCCTGGCCCTCATTTCCTCCTTCATACAGGAGTGAATAGAGTCAATTAACTCCCAAGTTACAAAAGCATAGCATTAACGGTCTTCCTGTGTCTATACAAAAAGAACATTTCTCTGAATTAGCTATGCAAAGGACTTAAGGAGAAGAGAAAAACAATATTTTACAAGTTAACAGAGTCTGCTTAGGAGCAGAGCGCAAAGAAAGAGGTTACAAATAAACACAGAGGTATGGGAGTATTTTGATGGGAGTAACCCAGTAATCTAAGATCCCTGTGGGAAGGCAGAAAGGACAAACCAATATTATCCTACAGTGCCTCGAAATATTAAAAATACAGGGCTGAGGTGATAGTACAGAGGGCAGGGCACTTACACTCTGCCAACCTGAGTTTAATCCCCGGAAACCCATATGGTCCTCTGAGCACCACCAGGAGTGATATCCGAGCCCAGAGCCAGGAAGTAAGTCTTGAGCACAGCCAGGTGTGCTCCCCCCCAAAAGAAAAAAAAATTACCAAGTACTTTTTGGTGGATAACATGTCATTTTCTTCTGGCCTTGCATTGTTAATCAGTCACATCTCGAAGCCTTGAAGCAGTAGTCTACAGCACAATGAAAACCTGCAGGCCAATGAGATTCAGAAACACAATCCAGCCAGGCACAAAAAAGACTCCTGGAGGCCTTTGATTAATTCACCATGTTAGTGTTTGTGAGTTTTGTGTTTCTTTGTTTGTTCGTTTTATTTTTTGATCCCTTGTCATATACCAATAATCAGTGCAAAAGTCCTTTATTGCAGCATAGTTGCATAGGTCAGGCTGGGAGTAGAGGTAGAGACACAGGGTAGAAATGCCCAACATCAAACACTTATGTCTTTCTCCTTGTTTTTTGTTTTTCTGATAAGGATGAGGTACCAAACTAACACCTCACGTCATAGCCAAATCTACAACCAGGAAGCCAGAAAGAGCTACAGGCCTAGCGCAGGATTGCAGTCTGGAAAACCTACCTTGCCATCCTGGGGTCAGTTTTCTCCCACTTGAGTGCTTTTCCCTTTATTTAAAGGAATAAACTGGATTTTTAGAACCCCAGTCCTGCCTGTTGCTTCTGTATCAAAGGACCAGAGTGCCCTAAGCCTGGGGGTCTCAGGCAAATACCCAGAACTGGACCAGACAGTGCCATGTTCAGGATATCTAAGGGCCCCTGGTGTCTGAGTGGACTAAATGTCTAAGTGTCACCCTGCAGATCTATTAAAAACTGATGAACTGACTTCTGAATGTCTTTGAACACAACTGTGCAGCCAAGTTAAGTTTCTGTTTCACCACTAGTTACTAAAGCTTTCAACAGGATGTGGAAAAAGGATAAACGTTTCCGGGACTGGAGCAATACTACAGTGGGTAGACGTTTGCCTTGCATGTGGCTGATCTGGGTTTGATCCCTGGCATCCCATATGGCCTCCTAAATATTGCCAGGAGTAACTCTTAAGTGCAGAGTCAGGAATAACCCCTGAGTATCACCCAAAAAAAGCAAAAAATAAATAAATAATTTTTAAATGGCTACAAGTTTTCATAGAGGCAGGAAAAAAATACTTTTTTATCTCCAGTTTTGGGGCCACACCTGGCAGTGCTCAGAGGCCACGTGTGGGAGTGATTGGGGGACCATTTGTGGGGCTGGGATTTACCCCAAGGTTTAGTTACTGCTGATGCCCCACTCAAGGCCGGTGCTTTAACCTTAACACTACTCTTCAGCTCAAACCAGCTCTCTAAGCGTTAAAGCAAATGGGAACCACAGAAACCCTGAGAGGCGGATGCGGTCCTTCACTAACACCCAAACAGGACATAGGGAACCTCTGTGGAGCTTGTACCCAGCTTTGCTAACCCCAGACCCTGCTATCTGGCGCCTGGCCCTCCAAACACATATGATGTGCCTGAAGGTTGAAACGAACTCCCATGGGGCTCCTGCTTGCAGGGTCACCTTCTGGATTTGGACTTCTGACCTCAGGCACCCCTCAGAGAGGTTCTTCTGCTTGGCTTGTCTCCCTTGTTCATCATTCTGCTTTCCCAGAGGTGCTCTGGAGGCCAATATAGGTTGGGATATATCAGAGTCTTGTGCATGGCAGGCAGGTGCCAGCCCTTTGACCCATCTCACCAGCCCCTGGGTTTGTTCCCTTTAATCCCCATCAAACGCACTGTATTGCCTTCTCCAGAATGCCTGCCTCTAACAAAAACCTTGCAGAAGGCCAGAACACTACATAATTTCAATTCCTCCATCAATCGCTGCCTCCTCGACACACACATAAGTTTCCAAAGTTTGCCCAAATTTGTCTCTATGTTTCCACGAGTTAGCCAGTCTTTAGCTCCCCCACTTCAGTGGACCCCACCCTCATTAATCAGTGCCTTTGATAACTCACTCTTGCCACTCTTCCAAATACTCCACCCTCTCAGGTAAAAAAATAAACACCTTGCTTTGCCTTTTTTGGCAGATTTCCTCACCTCTGCTTCACAGAGAAAAGTGTTATTTGACAGAAACTCCTGCAACTTCTCTCACCAACTAAAAATGTCTCTGTTTTTTCATGTGTCCTATTCTCCTTTCCTCCCAGAAATAAAGGTCATTTGTGCCATCAACATAAATGCAAAGTATTTTACTTGACAGTAAAGTATCTGTACCCAACTCTAATTAATATGTCAATAATCCTATAGGCAGAAACACCTCTTCATTGGGGCTGGATCACTTCTCTGGCCTTCCTTCCATGGAATGATATCCAGGGAACTACCCAAGTTAAGGAATACCCTCAATGGGCACCCTTGTGACTCTGAACCTCGGCAGTTTCCCCAGCACACCCTCACCCTGTGCTAGAACATCTCTCTCATCTATTTCTTCATTCAGCAACTCCATATTGCCTTGTTTTATTGGATGGTTCCCCTTGCTCAACTTATTTAAACTTTCTCCTTCAGGTTCTCTCCCTTAGTTCAAACCAAACCTAAAACTCCTTACTTCTAAGAGCTGTATGAACTTTTATCTTAATTACAGACTAATGTCTCCAACTGACCACATCACATTGACAAAACCACCCATCCACTTGGAGGGTGAGTGGACTTCTCAAAGGTAACATCCAAAAATAAACTTGGAATAGTTTTGCAAATTCTTTTTTTTTTCTTTTTGGGTCATACCTGGTGATGCACAGGGGTTACTCCTGGCTCTGCACTCAGGAATTACTCCTGTCGGTGCTCAGGGGATCATATGGGATGCTGGGAATTGAACCCTGGTTGGCCGCATGCAAGGCAAGCGCCCTACCCACTGTGCTATCTCTCCAGGCCCCAGTTTTCCAAATTCTTGCTCTGATTTGTATCTTCTTCTATGTTAAGAGATGCAATTTCTTCATGCTGGTTTCTCAGCACATACACATACACACACAAAAATACACGTAGTCATATCCCTCTTGTTCACATTTCACATACAATTTCTCAGAAAATTCTCTTGTCTATACTCTGAAAAGTTACCCATATTCTACCCATTTAGCTGAAATTGTCCTGGCCCAAATCATCTGTCACTTAGATGATCTGTTCATCTTCTCCTGCTGTTTCTTTCTTCCTCTTTATCCCCAGCAAATTTCTCTTCCCCATTCTAGTCCTCTCAATGCAATTAAAGTGATCTCTATAAAACTAAGACCTTCCCCTGCTCAAAACCTCGCAGTGATTTTTCACTCAAAATGAAAATCAAAGTCCTTCCCATAACCTATAAATCCCTAATGACCTGCCACCCACCCCCTATTTAGGAATCCTTATTCTACTACTGTCCACGTTTTTTTTAGCACTCCGGCCACCAAATAGCCTCATCCAACATGGATAGCTCCCTCCCTCAAGAAGTTCACTCAAATCTCACATTCTCATTGACACCTAGCCTAGCAACTCATAACTCCTAATTCACTCTCCCCATTTTCCTTCCATATACCACATATTATAGGTAAGACATATGCTAACAATGTCCTTATTATGATTTTTCCCTGCTAGAATGTAAAATGTTTCAAGGACAGTGATCTTAATTTTTCTCACTAATACAACCCAAAAAAACAAAAAGGCGCTTGGCACATACTCAAACCGTTAAATAATTAAAATAGTGACACCTTATGATGCTTGCAAAATAATAATAATAATAATAATGTTCTTTAAACATTATTATTGGGAATATGGTTCAAGGGGTAACACATACGCCTTGCACTGTGCAACACCATTCTCACCCACACCTTAAGGTCCCTCCGGGAGCATTCCCCACCCCCAGGGTCTCTGGCTGGAACATCTTCAATCATTAAAAGGACTTTGATATCCAATATCCCATTGACACCTGAAAACAAGAACTGAGGCCCTTGCGTTTCTCTCTGGCTCCATCTGGTGGCAGCTGCGCAAAGTTGATTCTCTTCTTCCAGCGCGGTACCAAATTTGTTCGGAACCCTACAGCCGGGTCCTCATTAAGGGTGCATCGGAGCTAAACGAGCAGAGCGCAAACTACGGAAAAAATGACTACCGAGCCGGAAGTCGGGGGCGCCCGAGGATCAGTAGCCAATAGGCGCGAAGCTGACTCTCACGTGGTCCGACTTCAGCCTATCGGATTCCTTATACTTCCGACGCACGCCTTTGCGCCTCCCGGCTCCTTCTCTTCCCGACGAGATGGCCACACCGGCAGTACCGGCGAGCAGCCCTCCCGCCACTCCGGCCCCGGCCCCGGCCCCGGCCCCGACCGCGGCCACGACCCCGGCCCCGGCTCCGACCCCGGCCGCGGCTCCGGCCCCGGCGCCGGCCGCAGCGCCCGCTCCGGCTCCGGCTGGAGCCGCGACTCCGACCCCGGCCGCGGCCGCAGACCCCGCGGCCGCCGCGGCCACGACCCCGGCCCCCGGCCAGACGCCAGCCGCGGCGCCGGCCCCGGCGCAGACCCCGCTGCAGTCGCTGCCCGGGCCTGCTCTGCCCGGCCCCTTTCCCGGCGGCCGCGTGGTCCGGCTGCATCCGGTCATCCTGGCCTCGATCGTGGACAGCTACGAGCGGCGCAACGAGGGCGCGGCCCGCGTCATCGGGACCCTGTTGGGTGAGTGAGCGGGCGGGATGTCGCCCCGCCGACCTCGCGGCCTCCCCGCCTGGCCTGGGTCTCCTGCGATTTGTTTGCCAGGTCCCTCCCTGGAGCTTGCCTGCCGGACAACTGTCCCTAAGGGTCAGGGCAAACTAAGGCTGCGTGCCGAGCTGTCTCGTGTTTTCTTTCTGATGTTGCCACTAATGGTTTACGTGAGAAGTGTGATTTACGTGTGAGTTTTAAAAATAATAAAGTGAATTCGGGGCCGGAATGCTAGCAGGTAAGTTGCTTCCCTTGCACGCAGCCGACCCGGATTCGAGCCCGGCACCTGAGTGCAGCTGGCTGTGGGTACCACCCCCCTCCAACCCTCTCAAAAGAAAAAGGGAAAAAAGAGTTTAGTCTCCGACTCGGAAATAAAGAACCCTTTGATTCTCTAATGCCCATGACCACATTCCCTCTCCCAGCCCCAAATCCAGGGACTGGGGACTGTCATTGCAGTTCAGGTGTTTACAGCACAGGCGTGGGGTTGTGGTCTAAGCACTTATCCCGCCAAACAAGGAAACCACTGTGGGCCTGCTGCCCCTCTAGTGTTTCAGTAATGCTCTGCTTTCCTTAGCCCCTACCTGCCCTCTGTCCTAATACCCGTTGCATTAAGATAGACCCTGGTGCTGTCCCAGTTCCTCAGTTTGGACATAAAGACTGTAGTAGCTGTTGGTTCACCTTCAAAGTAAAAGATCTTTTCTCAGCCCATGTCTGCAACAGGGAGACCATCGTGACAAGTTCAGATAACTTACGAAGCTGAAGACCACATTAGAGGGGCTGCTGAGAATACATCTCTGGGACACTGCAGGGAGGGGCCGTGCTCCTGCTGCTGCCACCACCCCTGCCGTGGCCCAGGCAGCTAGAGCAGCATCTAAGACAAAGACAGTGAATTCCTTCTTGGGCTGGAGTGATAATAGAGCAGGTACATGTCCGACCCCTGTTCAAGCCAGGGCGTCCCATATGGTTCCTCGAGCCCTGTCAGAAGTATCCCTGAGCACCACCAGGTGTGGTTCCAAGAAATAAAAATTAACCTACTGATCCTGTCAGATTCATTTTCACTTAGTCTTAAGGGTCTCAAACGCTTCTGTGGAACCACTCATTTGTACATTTAACTTTCTTGTTGGAGAGAGATGGGGGCTTCCCAAGTAGTGCTCAGGAGACCCACAATTCAGTGCATTGAATTCGACAATACAGTGGTGGCCAAGTGAGGCTCACCTCATGAAGCCACATAATTGTACGATCTCTCCAACTCCTCTTAAACTCATAAATCTATGATAGGCCTTTTAATCTGAATGCACTTGATGTATTGCAAATGTATTACAAAAATTGGTGTATTACAAAACTTGTAGGCAGATGCTACAAATAAAGCTATGTGCCTCAAGACAAGTTCCCTAGTGTTTCAGGCACGGTTTCAGCAGCCTTTATGAGCTAAATTACTACAGAAAGCCTCTGGTTGTGCTGACACATGAGGTACAAGACAGGGGTCGGTTGCCATCCTCTGCTTCCTAGTCTAGGCCCGAATCACCTGCCACACATTCAGTTCTCGATCTCTTTTTTAGGTTGTAGTGTAATACAGAAACTTCACTGACCCATATCCTGTAAACCTTGCCATTTTTTGCAGCTAAGCCTCTCTATTCTCTTTCCCACAAGTGCCTTCCCTGCTGTTCCATATTCTTTGTAAGTTCATTGACCAGCCAGATTCCAAAAAAAATGCTCAGTGTCAGCCATCCATCCCTTCCTCTAGTCCCATGCCTGTCCTTAACTCCCAAGCAACAGTGCTTGGCTTTCAGTTTCCGTAGTGAGTATTATATCAGTTGAGCTCAACAAATACTAACTTTATACTGTCAAATTTTTAAAATTCACTGACAGTTTAGCTGATGGCAGTTCTCTACCCAAAGTTTGTGCCAAGTGCCTCCATTAGTACAGTTACCCTATCCAGCTGTAACCTGGATCTTCAGACCCTCTTCCAAGCCAGAACCATGGTACCAGTGGTGGGTATTTTGAGGATTTACAGAATGAGGGCTAGACTCTGCTTGATAGGAACTTAGTTTTTCCCCAGACAGTAATTTTGGGTATTATGCAAATTCACTTGGTTAAATTAAGTCATGGGGCGTAAAACTGTTAGATGCTTAGATTTCAGAGTATGGTGAGATGAACTCCACTCTAACCTCAAGTTCAGAATGAAGATACACTCTAGAATTTGCAGAGAGAGGTTGAAGAATTGCTGAAGAGTATGTGTCCATTGAGCCAGGGATATAGTTCAGTTAAAGGAACAACCTAGTGAAGTGGAATCAGGTGTTAATGTGTAAAGGTAACGAACGGGGTCTCTAGTAGAGAAGGAAACAGTTGAAGCCTGGCCTGTGGGGGGGGGGGGGGGCTGGAGAAGGGGGAGCTGCCAGAAGAATAGGGGAAAAGTGGAGAAATCGAGGAGTTAGCCGTTTAGTGTGGTCCAGAAACAAATGCAGGGAGTTTAAGGGTATCAAAACCGGAAGAACAAAAATATGTAGTTAAAAGATTGTTATTTCAGATCGACAGATAAAAGAACACTGGATGAGGTTAGAATTGTTCTAATCAGATAGCTGGAAAGAGGGACCAATGAAGCTTCCTAAATTTGTGCTGAGACTACACTTAGGGGTAGCACTGCACTGTAGCACTGTCCTCCCGTTGTTAATCGATTTGCTCGAACAGGCACCAGTAATGTCGCACAACAAATTGTGAGACTTGTTGTTACTGGTTTTGGCATACTGAATACGTCACGGGGAGCTTGCCAAGCTTTGCTGTGCGGGTGAGATACTCTCTGTACCTTGCCAGGTTCTCCGAGAGAGGACAGAGGAATCAAACCGGGTCGGCCATGTCAGCCATGTGCAAGGCAGATGGCTTTCCCACTGTGCTATCGTTCCAGCCCACACTTGGGGTACTATTAAAATTTTTCAGGTAGTCTAGGGTCAATTACAGCAATTTTAAATTACAAGTCAGTTGAAAGTCAGGCGGGTGGTCAATGCACATCAGAGGGCCAGGAAGGTCTGAGCGCATGATTTGCCTGTGCAGGGCCCCGAGTACCATCCCCAGCACACATAACCTCCACATGGGAAGCTATTAATATTTTTGGAAAGAAAAATGAAGGAGCAAGGAGAGAGTATAGGGGTTAGGCAAGCACCCAGCCCCAGCCCAACCCCCAGCTGAATGTGGGCCTTGAAACTCCGGGGGAGATCCAAAAGAGAAAAAAATGGAGGGCGTGGAATGAAGATCAGGAATAAGACTGGCAGTAACAGACAAAAGGACACCTCATGAAGGAAGAAGTGGGTCTTTGCGTGGCTCGTTGAGGAAATGAGGCAGTAATTGCACCAGTGTTCAGTTCTCATGAGAGTCCTGGTCCCAGGGATGAGCGCTTGAAGCTAATAGGTTTGATTTAGGATTTGTTGGCTTTAAGATGCCCAAAAGGAAGTGGCGGGACCAGAGAGTGTACGGTACGTGCCTTGCATGCAGCCAACACTGATTGGCTCTCCAGCACCGCATGATCCTCTAAGAGTAGCTGGGGCAGCCCAGGAATCCCCGCCTCTAGCATCACCCGTTGATGAGTGCCCAGTGACACAAGACCCTCACATTAAACTGTCCCATTAGTTGACAAAGAATCACTGAACGGAGCCCTGGCCTCATGTGGGAAGGGTTAGACAGCTCTGGGGAGATGTAAGGTTACTAACACATGGACCATTGTCTCTCACAGGAACTGTTGACAAGCACTCAGTGGAAGTCACCAATTGCTTCTCCGTACCCCACAATGAGTCAGAAGATGAGGTGAGTGGGAATTGTGTGGTCTTTAGTTCCTCATATGTGGCGTTTCCTCCAAACAGTATGTTGTGCGTATACGTCACGGGGAGCTTAGTTTGGAACTCCCTTCCACTCATTGTATGTATTTCAAGGCTCGTCTAATGTGAAAGTGAACCCATCTTTCTTCAAGGGGGGGTGGGGAGGAGTGACAGTACAGTCAGTAGATCATTTGCCTTTCACACAGCCTACCTGGGTTTAGTCCCCAACATCCCATATAGTCCCTGAGTCCTACTGGGTGTGGCCCAAAATCAACCCCCTGCCCCAGAAATTGGGACTATTTTTGGTTTGGTCTTCTGGTTTGTGATACTCTTTTCCTTCCTGTTTCCTTAGGTGGCTGTTGACATGGAATTTGCTAAGAACATGTATGAATTACACAAGAAAGTCTCTCCAAATGAGCTCATTCTAGGCTGGTGAGTTGCAGGGGGGTTGGCGTGGAAGGAAGAACACAGTTTGTGTTGGAAGGGAGTTTTGGTGATTGCCAAGATTCCCCAGACTAGATATTGCTGGAGCAGTAGCACAGCGGGTAGCGCATTTGCCTTGCATGTGGCCAACCCGGGTTCGATTCCTCTGTCCCTCTCAGAGAGCCTGGCAACCTCCCCGTGGCATATTCGATATGCCAAAAACAGTAACAAGTCTCACAATGGAGATGTTACTGGTGCCAGCTCAAGCAGATCAGTGAACAACGGGAGGATAGTGCTTTAGTGCTACAATATCACCTATCTTTAGGAAAACATTGAAGGTATCTTGCCTCAAGCTCCTAGCTGCCAATTCAATGTCACTGCTGACAATACTGGTTCTATGGAACCAGAAATGTTTATTTTTAATGAACAAGTCATGTTTGCCTTTCTGGTGTCTTAAAATTTTTCAGAGCTCTAAATACACTGTTAATTTGGTGGAGTCTTGCATACTTAGGGACTTCGTGTAGGGGGAGCAGGGACAGACCCTTGGAGTATCATGAGTATCACTTCAGATACCCCATCTTCATGGTTTGGTGTCACTTGCAGTAGTTTTCCATTTTGCTCTTTTCCGTTTGCAGGTATGCTACAGGCCATGACATCACTGAGCACTCAGTGCTGATCCATGAATATTACAGCCGAGAAGCCCCCAACCCCATCCACCTCACAGTGGACACAAGCCTCCAGAATGGCCGCATGAGCATCAAGGCCTATGTCAGGTGACCGGTCTTGTGCCGTGAGGGCATAGAACTGTCTAGAGTAGAATCTGCCCAGGTGACACCACCTCAGGCAGATTTATTCTTTCAGCACATAATTGAACTGCTTTCTAAGAAAGACCCTTTCTCGCTCAACACACATCATTAGAAAGGTTCTGTGTTGAAACAAATCCCCAAAATGTCTCCTCAGCAATCCCAGTTGTGTTATGATGTCTTGTTCTTTGGTTTGAGGCCACACTCAGGTGCTCGGGAACTGTGTGCCAGACCCGTGCCCAGTCCCTCCTGCGTGCTGTCCCCCAATCCTTGGAGCCAGCTCCCCAGACCTTTGCTAGTTGCCTGGAAATGCTTTCAGAGCAGCTCAATAGCCCGTTGAGTAAGCTCTGGTGAGTTACCTTTTTTGGAGCTACAGAGAGTTCTCGGGGACCATTCTTCTCATGCTCCTTCTCCACGCACGCACCCCTTAGTCTGTCATTATCTCTGGAGCTGAGTGCAGGACTCAGTAGTAAAATTAAGAGAGAACTGTCTCTATTTTGACAACTTCTCAGGATTGACATGTAGCTTGCTGGGGGTGGGGGGGGTATTGGTGAAGACACCCTGAAGGCATGCTGAAGAGGAGTTGGTGGGTGTTGTTTGGGTTACACGTTCTGGTTAAGCAGAGGGCATTTGTTAGTGCATCCTTTACACTGTTGAACTTTGTGCTGTGTCTGTGACATGACAGTGACCATTGAGCCATTATGGTCTGAGACAGATGGCGAAAGGCAAGTCCTTAGAAGTCACTAGGTGTAAGCTGAGTTCTTCCCGTTGCGTGATTTCCTAGCCTTTCCGATACTTCAGCTCAATGAGATTTAGTTGACTGGGGAGAACGCTGAACAGTACCCCACACTGCATGCTGCGCCGCTGCCTAGCACCACCAAGTGTTGCCCTGGTGACGGCTAAGCATTGAACCTCAGGCCCAACCCCCGAACTGAGAGTGTGCCTCGTGTGGCTCCTACTGAAAGAGTTTGCGAAGCAGGAGAAATAGTCCAGAGATTCGACGCATACCTTTATGTGACTGACCCGGTTCGGTCCCCAGCATCGCGTGGTCCCTAGAGCTTTGCTGGGTACAGCCCTGAAGGCCAGAGCACTGCATTCTCTGGGTCTGCACATTGAACTGCCTTCCCACTGGATTGAGGACCCCCAGGAGGGACCCCTAAGATCCAGAACTCCACTTGAAGGACTTTGAAGATAGGTTTGAAAGCAGGTAGTTAAGTTAATAAATGTCATTGTGTCCTTCAGTGAAATTTTTTTTTGTCATACCCAGCCTCATGTTGAAGCCAAGGTCTGTAGTTTTTTTCCAGTGCTAACAGAGGATTAGGAAAGACCATCTTGCTTCACCTTTCCTCGGGGATGGGTGTCAGGCAGCCAGCCTCATAGAGAAATCCGGGGTTCTGTGCTCTCTCCTCCAAAGTGGCAGTGTACAGAGTAATCCAAGTCAGAAAGCTGTGTCCACTCCCACTGGCCGGGGCTTTGGTGTCAGAGTAAACAGAGGAAGCAGAAGAGTCTACTTCTGAAACACTTGGTCAGGTGGTCACAACCTGGACAAGCCATGGGAAGCTCTCTCCGGCCCATCCGTTTACCTTGATTTCTCTCTCCTCAGCACTTTAATGGGTGTCCCCGGGAGGACCATGGGGGTGATGTTCACACCTCTGACGGTGAAATACGCGTATTATGACACTGAGCGCATTGGAGGTGAGTGCTCCTCCCTCCCTCTCTGTTTTTGGCGCTTCTCAGGGTGAAGGGTTGCTACTCTCAAGGCTGAAGGTTGAGGGGGGAGGATACAGATCTAGGGCATGTGATGACTAAAAGTCACAACTTTTCTCCTGAATAAATGGGATTCAAGGAATTACTTGAGAGCTTGTTAAATGGGAAGTGATAGTGTCAGAGGCGTCATCTAAAATCAGAACAGATGATGAACATAACATGTAAGAAGGCGAGAGCACTAGGGCAGAGCAGAGGAGTGTGGGGAGTTGCCGGGATGGTTAAATGTCTCTTTCCTGATGGGGTGACGGGATTTTCGCATCTCTTCCACCCGCCACCCACTCTGGCAGTGGACCTGATCATGAAGACCTGCTTCAGCCCCAACCGTGTGATCGGCCTGTCCAGCGATTTGCAGCAAGTGGGAGGGGCATCAGCTCGCATCCAGGATGCCCTCAGCACAGTGTTACAATACGCAGAGGATGTGCTGGTGAGGAGGGAAGGGAGACTGGAGGGGGGCCCGGTCCCGGCCAGGAGAGGGTTGCTGAAATGCCAGTCCTCGGGATGGGAATTGACTGTGCCTTGTTCAATCTTTATTCCATGCACAGTCTGGAAAGGTGTCAGCTGACAATACCGTGGGCAGATTCTTGATGAGTCTGGTCAATCAAGTCCCCAAAATCGTCCCTGATGACTTTGAGACCATGCTCAACAGCAACATCAATGTGAGTACCTTTCCTGCAACTCGGAAAAGTGTTGGGAGAGGTGGCCTGGAGCATACGGAGACAGGGCTCCACTCTCGGCCTCTTGGGAGTCCAGATCTGGAGGGAGACAGTTCGCACGCTCTGAAATTCTTTCCCTGCCCATAATTCCGTTGGCTCATTTTTGATACTTGGTGTTGGTTCAGAGTCATGAGTATTCTGAGGTTAATGAAAATGTACATTTGTTTCCATCTGAGTTAATTGGCTCCCTGTAGTCAACAGATCTCAGTTTCCTGCCCCCACAAAAAACCCTGTCTGTTATTGGGAAGAGATGAAAAAGTGTCTGGAGTGTGTCCTCTTTGTTTCCACCTCTGCCTCTTGCTAAACCTCTCCTTTGTCACTTGACTGAGGGCTGTCCTCAGTGTCCCTCCAGTGTCTGCCTTAGAGCAGACCCCTTACTCATAGTGGCTTCTTTGTGCAGGACCTGCTGATGGTGACCTACCTGGCCAATCTCACGCAGTCCCAGATTGCCCTCAATGAGAAACTCGTAAACCTGTGAATGGACGTGACAGCTTTCCTGCCTGACTGGGCCTCACCACCAGGCCGCACCGTGGTGTGAAGTGAGGTGGTTTCTCTGGTTTGGTCACACTGAGTCAGCTGTTTGTGACTTTTAAATAAAAATGACTTGTCTTTTATAAATGATTTTATAAATGGAGACTTCTGCTGGGTAGAAGGGAGAAAACTGTTCTAGAGCTCATACAGAAACAACAAAGTGTACAGGTGAAAATTGTATGATTGATGAAACTTGTACGTTAATAGTCATACTCAGAACCAAAGCCACTTTTGTTTATATTTTTTAACTATAGGTAACATAGCTACATTAATAGTGTTAAAGTTAATAGTATTGATATGCCCCAAATTTACTGTGTCCACCACCACCAAAGTGCCCGAGGCCCTCAGCCACCCACCCCCCATCACCTCTTAGACCCCTCTTTATCCAACCCCCCTGCAACATCTCCCCCAATGCCAAAATACTTTTCCTTCACCTTGTCTTACAGGGGTACTTTACTGTCCCTCCATATTGTTTTGTTTTGGGGGGGGTCGCACCCTGCAGTGCTCAGGGCTTACTTCTGGTTCTGTGCTTAGGGATCACTCTTGGGAGGGCTCGTGGAACCATATATGGTGCTGGAGGTTTAACGTGATTTCACCACATGCCCTACCCACTATACTATCACTTCAGCCTCCCCATGATAGTTTTTGTTTCTTTTGTGAGCTTGGTTTTATTTTGGATTTTCATGGTTTGTTTTGGGACCATACCTGGCATTGCGTGGTTCTTGGGCCATGTAGGGCTGAAGATCAAACTAGGCACTCCTATATGCAAACCATGCACTCTGGCCCTATGAATTATCTTCCTGACCCCTGGCCCACTCTTTGCCAATTATCATAGCAAACTGGATCTCAAAAAGGGTTTTGTCCCTCTCTTTCTTATATGGAGGCAGTACCAAAGGCTGCCTTCTGTGTGAAGTACCCAGAGGAGAGAAAAGAATGGGGTAGGTACACCTCATTCCTGTGACCCACGCGTGCTATAGAAAGATCACCGCCTCCATCATAAGAATTAACTCTGCTTCACCAGGTTTCCAGTTTTCAATCTGGAAAGGTGCCCGCTGACAGAATTGTGAACCATTTCTTGGTAGGTATCTCTGATTTCCACAGAAAATAAAACACTGGAGAAAATTGGATAAAGTGAAGGTTAAGAGAGTACTATGGTTAGTATATTAAAATACTTGAATACTAGGATGCAGCTGTCTGTTGCTATGGTCTCTAGAGGCATTTAACATCTTAAAAGAGATTTCCCTAAAACTAGTAAGCTCTGATGTTTGTAACTTGAGATCAGCCTTAGGTTGTGTTATGATCCACCGATGGCAAAATCTAAGAAAGTTTAGATGACTTCCAGGAACCTTGTGTAGTCAGAGTGCTCAAACATCACTTGAATCTGCTTAGATTCTGCCTGCACACAATTAAGTGTCTGAAAAGAAATGAATTTGTCAGGCACTCTGGGCTCTGTTGCATATCCAATGTAAGTTTGAATGAAGACAGACACTCAGGATCAAATATGCCTGACTTCTGATTCTAGCTCCCAATTATATAATCATAGGAAATCAGTTTTGGGGAGTTGGGGGAAAAAATGCGAATAGGAGGCTGGAGCAGTAGTACAGTGGATAGGGCACTTGACTTGCACGTGGCCGACCCCAGTTCGAGTCCCACCATCCTGTATGGTCCTCTGAGTACCACCAGGAGTAATTCCTGAGTGCAGAGCCAGGAGTAAGCCCTGAGAATTGCCCAATGTGACCCAGAAGCAAACAAAATTGTGGATAAGTAATCATTTTCTTCATGTAGGAAAATGTAAATATATAAAGTGATTGAGAGTATATCAAGTTATATGTTTGAAAACAGCTTGTGAGCTTGGAAGAAGACCTATCAGAGAAAGTGTTTCAGTGTTCTTATATTTGGGGTGAGCAGTTAATAGCAACTTTAGACTTAAAAATATGCAAGATGAAATCCAAAGTTACTCATGAGAAACAAAATTTCCAAAGAAACGATGATAGAAAATAACAGTAAGAAAAAGAAAAAATAAAGAAAATGAAGACATTTTTAAAAGTGGGTTAAACAGATCAACAAAGACGACAAATGTACCAGTAATCGGGCCAGAGAAATAATGCAGAGGTGGTTAAGGTCCTTGCCTTGCATACAACTGACCCACGTTCAATATCCAGCACTACATGTGGTCCCGGAGCCTGCCAGGAGCGATCCTTGAGCCAGAGCCAAAAGTAAGCCCTAAGCTGGGGCTGGAGAGATAGTACAGCAGGGAGGGCATTTGCCTTGCAAGTGGCCGACCTGGGTTCGATTCCCAGCATCCCATATGGTCCCCTGAGCACTGCCAGGAGTGATTCCTGAGTGCAGAGCCAGGAGTAGCCCCTGTGCATCACTGGGTGTGACCCAAAAAGCAAAAAAAAAAAGTAAGCCCTGAGCACAGCCAGGGTATGACCCCCACCCAAAAAAAAATATATATATATATATATATGTACACACACATAGTGGATAGCAAAAAAGATGCAAAATATATGTAGAAGACTTAGTCTAATGGGTAGCCAAAAAGAAAGCTAAATCAACACATCCACACAAACTCTTTTCCCCTGTCCATCTCATCCAATTTGTTTTACTGAAGACACTCCAAAACCATAAGGACACAGAACATTGTCATACAACTTTAAACAAACAAAAATACTGACAAGTGAAAGAATAAGTCTCAAGACAGGTGACATTAAACAGCTACCTTGTGGTTAATGTGCTCTGAAGTCACACCGAATGCCAAGTCAGCAAGCGTTAAACCATCATTCTTAATAATTAAGTTTTAGTGTTCTCTGGATCAATACATGACCTTCCTTTTTGTCCATTTCCATTCAGACACTTCATTAATATGTATTGTCATTGACATTGAACTCGGTTGACAGTGCTACAACTCAAGTCTGAACAAAACTTGCCTACCGGGTTTTCTCCTTCCACATTGGCTATCACAGCCTTGTGCTGAGAAACAGCAGGTGGCACTTCAGCACTCACCTGCAACGTGCTTCGCAGCAGCCACTGCAGAAAACAGCACTCCATCAACGGAGTCCAGTAGAAGCTGCGTCAGGAGGTGTAGCAGATCCTTATATCTCAGGGATGCGAATGTCTAAACTAAACACATACTCAGGAGGCTCTCTGGGTTTACTTTCTGTTGTTAAAGACTTATTAACCATTGTATTCAACAAGAGAAATAGAGCTATTTCTGTATCTCTATAAGTAAGGTGGAGGGGAGGCTTTTTAAAATTTTCTTAAGTAGAAGCCACACCTAGTGCAGGGCCCACAGTTCAGTGCTTGGGCTGGTGCTGTGGCGCTGGAGGTGGCAAGGAGATGCAGAACCAGGGATCGAACTTGGGGCCTTGTTTCAGGCCTGTGCTCCACCGATTTTATCCATGAGCCTGACCCTGAAAGGAGGCTTGGGTGGTGTCCAGTTAGTGTGCTTGCTTATACAAGTCTTAAGGACCACTAAACCCAAAATTCAGTATGGTGGCTGAGTATAAAAAGTACACTGAGGAAATGATAGTTTTTATAAATCTTTATAAAATTTTGAAATTGTAAGTCTATCACAATTTTCTATTTTTTATTGAGGCACTGTGATTTACAGAACTATAATCAAGTTTCAGATATACAGTGTTGCAACACCAGTCTCCCCACCAGTGTCAGTGTCCCTTCAATGTCCAGGTTCCTTCCATCCCTGGCTGCCTCCCAGACAGGCACATTGTTTCTAGTGCACTGGCTTACAATGCGATGCTGTTTCATGCATAACTCACTCCCCCGGGCTCCCCACTTCCCTCCACCATTGCTCCATTGTGTAAATTGTGATTTTTAAGCGTACAGAAGAATGATCACCGTAGCTAAATCCTCAAAACTCTTAACGCTGGAGTCTCAGGTTAATTACTGTGAATGAACAAGCTAATTTATTTAAATGATTTTATTGTGTTGGGCATACAAATTGTTTCTGGTTTTTGTGCTCAGTTTTCACTGGTGAATAATTGTGTGCAGGAGGCACAAATGAGTTTTCCTTTCTTATGGGTAATCTCTGTCCCCTGCTGTGTCACGCGTTATCTGGGAAGTACGGTACCGCCCAATCTCTACAGATGAAGGAGACAATGATGAATGTGCTTCTCCAGTTGGTAGGACCAGAGACAGTATCCCACGGATGCCTTCCCTAGGTCCACACGCCCAAGTCTCACCAGAGGCCAGAGCTGAGTCCTTAGAAGATCAACTCAGTCAAACAGCTTTGGAGAGATGGAGGGTGGCAGGGGCGGGGCCGGGGGGGGGGGTCCTAGGAGTACAGGGTATATGGACAGTTGTTATCCCAGTCTACCTATCATCTATTCCCCCAAGCCTGCGGACTATTGAACCTTTTTTAAACAAACGTTTATATATTGTTGATCAACATCAGGTGTCACACTTGTGGTGCCAGAGGGGTGCATACACACTTGGGGTGGGGCCAAACACGCCCACCAGTACTAGGGGTCTCACTTGGCAGTGTAGGAGATGGAGTTTATGGCCTCACACAAGGTCCAGTCTTTTTATGTCCATGTTTACTACTTGATCTACTAGTGTAAAATATTAATCCCTGAATAATGGCATCAAAAGGAAACTGTTGACCCTGCGATCAGAACATACCTTTTCCCATCAAAGCTAGTATGTGTAACTATAGAACTTGGATTTCTAAGAAAGATACTTTCAGGATACTATAAGGCCTCAGGGAATCCTTTCACTGCAGGCTACCTGGCACAGCCTATTACTAACACCCAGCTCTGAGTGTATCTGATGAAGAAACGAGTATTTCTTATGCATGGTTAGCTTCCCCACAGAAGTTCAAATTGGGCGGGATTGCTGGAACTGAATTTCTGACTGTAATGCCTAGGAATCCGTGCGTACTCAGGAACGGGTCCTTCCAGGGCTAACTGCATGCCAGGCTCCTCTTCCCCCGCTGTATCCCAGAGGGAAAGCTCTTGGCTTAAGGAATAGTCTAGCCAACCTTGCAATTTTGGACCCTTGAAGATAGATCTGTTTCATGGAATCCTCCGGTAGAAACAGAACCGTTGTTTATAATGATATGCAAAGTAGTA